TTTTTTTGGTACAGGGACCTTCCGGCTTCCGGATTCACATGAGAACCGACTAATCCGGAATCGAGTTGGGTAGGACCACAAGGGCGACAAAGCTCTCCCTCAAGAGTTTTAATAGTGTTGCATTCACAGGGCTCGAACACGAGACCATTGGTTAAGGTGGAAGAGACCCAAACCATCTCATCCAAACGCTCTTGGGTAACGTAAGACTAATTTTATAACTGTTTTGAACATTTCTTCAATTTTCTTTTATTAATAATAATAATTATAATAATATTAAATTTAATTCATTCAGGAAGAGAAAACCTTTGACCCTTTCTTTCCCCTGTTTTTGCATATGACATAGAAATCAAGAAGATTAAACCATAAAAGTCAACTAATCTATATATAATTTATAGTATAATTATATATGTTTAAACCAAATCAGTTTTACATTTTAAATATAATTTAAATACAAATTCAAACCCAAATCAAATCAACTTTACATTAATAATTCCCTTCATATTTTTAAAACAAATCAAATTTAATCATTATATTTTAAATATTATTAAAATACAAAATCAAGCCCAATCAATCAACCTTTTTTTTCTTGTCAAAATTAGCTCATTTTATTCAACAAAATCAATTAAAAAAAAAAAAAAGAATGTTTCCAGTGACTAGCTTTAAATCAGTCCTTATAATGGAATTTTCCCATATTTTATCTGCCGGAATTGACATATACTTGGATGAGTTTAAATAATAATAATAATAATAATAAGAATAATAATAATAATAATAATAATAATAATAATAATAATAATAATTGCTGCATTAATTCATTTAGAAGATGAGAGTGTTTGACCTTTTCTTTCCCCTGTTTTGGTAGAGGACATAGAAATCAAGAAGACCAACAAACACATAAAGGTCAGCTAATAGTACAGTACAGGTGCCAATTTCCACGTAGCTCTTTCATCTTTCTTTTTTTTTTTATTGGTAGCGGTATCCCGAGCTATGCCTCGACTAATTCGTTGGTCAATCCGAATCGCACACCTAGCAGTGGTAGGTGAGTCTCTCAATAAGGATTTTCTACATTCATAAAAGACTCGAACCCAAAACTTTGCTTAAGCGACATTAAACTGCTTACTATTTGAGTCAACCCTGATTTCGGTAGAATATTTACTCTGCCCCAAAGTTGACTTTATAGTTCGCATCCGTTTAAATAATATTAATAATATTAACTTCCTTGTCTGGCAATCTTAATAATAACAATAATAATAATAATAATAATAATAATAATATAATATTGGCCTTCCTAACTTCCTTGTCTAGCAATCTACTAGGCAACACAAGTTTCTTCTCATCACCTTCTCTCTCTCTCTCTCTCTTCACAAATTCATATATATATATATATATATTCTTGTTTTTCTCATCTTTTTTATTTATCTGTAGAGAAACTTTTACACTTCATTTCTTCAAGAATTTTTTCAAGTCATTCTTTATCTTCCATTAATTGGAGATGTCAAAGGTAATTAAAAGTCCCCTTCCTTTTTCCTCTGTTTTTTTTGTATCATTTCTTCAAGAATTTTCAAGTCAATTTCATCACACCTTTTAAGAATTTTTTCCTCTGTTTTTTTGTACTGATGATCTCTTTATATTAATTCCTCAAAAATTAATAATGTCTTATGATTGTTTTCCCTTTACTGCAGAAAGTGGTGGTCAAAGTTCACATTCAGGATAACAAAGACAAACAGAAGGCTATGAAGGCAGTTTCTAGCCTCTCAGGTATATTATATTATATTATATTATAATATAACACTTTTTAGGTCGATCCGTCTAATGGTTAGGCTGTCTTACTCAACAATTTGAATTTTTGTAATCATCTCTCAATTTCACATAACTATTTGTACTCTTTATTATTTTTTTATTTTTTTTTTTGCGTGTGTGTGTTAAGGTGTGGAGTCCTTAGCCATTGACATGAAGGAGAAGAAGCTAACTGTAGTGGGGGATGTGGACCCGGTCGAGATCGTGAGCAAACTGAGAAAATTCTGGCACACGGACATACTCACGGTGGGGCCAGCCAAGGAGCCCGAGAAGAAAAAGGACGACGCCAAGAAGGACGACAACAAAAAGGAGGACAACAAGAAGAAATTAGAAGAGTACGGCAAGAAGAAGGTTGAGAGTGAACAAATGGCGGCGGAGCTGATGAAGATGTACAAGAATCACTACAACCATTACAGTTACAATAACCCTTATAATAATTATACACAATACTACCGAGTATACAGTGCCGAGGAAAATCCTAATTCTTGTGTTATTTGCTGATTCATATGTACTTGTACAAAAGATCAATATGGTGATAATTTTCAATATTGCATGTTAACCTTTTTTTTTTTTTGGTTGTAAAAAATATTATTATTATCTTGGTTTTGTTTTCTTGATGGGGTTTTCAAGTTATTTTTTGTTGAAGATTAGTTTTTGTTTGATGTAAATAATACTTTATCCTTTTGTATTAACCATTTGTGAGAATACTTCAATATTTATTCTAGTTTGTGCTTGTGTTTTCGGCTTTACGCTTCCTTTGAGTAGACCTCACTGTAGATTCAGCTTAGTAAGTGACTGAGTCGGTTGTATCTAGTTGTTGCTTTCTATTATGTAAATACATGCATGTGTTCATTAATATAAAGTTTATCATTCTAAAAATAAATAAATAATGATAATAATAAGTTTGATTAGTTGTATGAACCTTTTCAAATGATGAAGCTTATCTCAAATATCTATGGAATAGTGTTTTCTCATAAAATTCAAGAGGTATTTTGCTTTAGCTAATTGATCAAAAATTTTATAGATATTTTACTATAACAATTCATATATTTTATAAAAGTTTGATATAACGACATCCTTCAAACATAAAGAGTCGTCTCATTTCTACGAAATTTCCCCTCAAATATTGTTCATTAAATTCAGTTCAACGCGATTGGTGTTGTCATTTTTGTTGTTTTCTTAAACAAATCTTTTGATTTAACTTTCTATTAATTTACATATTAAAAATCTCGAATTCGATATATATAATAATAATAATAATAATAATAATAATAATAATAATAATAATAATAAATAAACAAATGTTTTGAATCTAAGTTTATCGCCCAATGTCATAATAATAATAATAAATAAATGAAAAAAATTGTAACAATTTGTGTAACCCGGTCGTCCCCATATTGGTCCACCAGTTCCCAACTAACTCTTGGATCTTTTATTTAAACTACTCTAAATTATGACTCCGCTTCTAACCAACTACGTGCACTTAAAAAAGATTACATGACAAATTAAAGGACTAAATAGTAAATAGATAAGAATAAGATGTTAGCGTCATTTTACATAGGTTGAAAGGCCAAACTTTATTTTTTTCTTAGATGAAACCTTGACGAGAACATTATTTATAGTTTGGAAAACTTATATAATTTTTTTTTTTAGTTTATATTTGATATATAATGATCATCTTAAAAAAAATATATACTTCTTCTCTATAGGTTACTCTTTGCATTTCTTGTGGTGATACGGAGAGGTCACTAGGGTTTAGCCCACGTAGTTAATGGGCTATTTTAAAGCCCGTTGGTAGGGGCCCAAATGAAAAGTACTCGTGAAATTAATATTTGCCCTTGACTTTGATATCTAATCGTGTCCACAGCTTCCTTAGCAGGTAAATCCATATATATGAGGAACTGAGTTGCGAATGAACATAGCAACTAGCAAGTATGGTTACGTCGGTAGGATGTTGTTGAGGACTTGTAGGTAATTTTACGTAGGCTTCTTGGACGGACAGAATTACCTGCCCAGTAAAGGATGGATTAAGCTATATATACCATCGAATTGTGATTATTCAAAAAAACAAAAAGAACAAAATTGAGTTTCCGGATAAAAGGCCGGCCGGCTTCCATCAAGGCAATTGTAATCAAGAGATATCACTTGACGAAGATCTTATTTATTTTAGGACATAAATCTAAGATACAATGAAATGCTTTAGTAAAGGAAAGATCCGCTTCGCTTCGTTCTTTGGGTCAGATCGCTCGAGTAACTTATCTTCGCCCCTCTCTGATAAGGAAAGAAAGGAACTAACTTAAGAAAGCAGAAATGAACCAACAAACTTTTCGAACAGTAAAGGATCTTGATGGGGTCCGGGAGGTGATGTCCTTAATTCAATCTCAATAAAATATTTAATTAATAAAGTTATTATTTATTGTCTATCAATCTTAAGATAATGAAATAGATTATATTAAATTACAAAGGACAAACAAATTGATGTCTTCTTCTCCGAGACTCTCTCTCCTACACTTATAACTCAATGCCGAAAATCACACCTCAAAAGATCAAACACATCTAAAAAATAAAAGTATCAAATTCAACAGCTCCCAATAGCCCTCTTGAAGATTTGAAGAAGTTCTTGAAGAACCGCGAAGTCCGTTCAATGAAGAAGAAGGTCAAGAAGAAAAAAAAAAAGGAGGCGGCGGCTCATTCTCATGAAGTAAAAAGACGACTTCAACTCCTCTCAAATCGATCCAAGAATATCAACAACTTTGCCGCGTTCATTGAGAAATTCAACTAACATAGCGTTTGATCCGAGTAAAAAACTATCAAGCCCTCGAGTCAACGTTATTCAAGTCAAAATCCGCAAGAAGATCATATAATCAAGTCCTCCTAGAAGTCTTCTTCAATCAAGTCAAGACCTAACATTTAATACGGGAATAAGTCATTCGACCCCCAAAGTAATCTTAGAGAAATTCAATCTCAAGCATAAAGACGAGATTCAATCGTCAAATCCATCTTTCAAGATCTCAAACCAAAATCCATGAAGAGAAGAATCAGAAGAAATAAATAGACATTGTACCGCAATATCGTTTGATCTAAATATATTCAAGTTGTACAAAAATTTTATGTTTTCCATAAAATTTATTGACACAAATTTGGCACGCCCGGTGGGTCTTTCTCTACCTCTCATCTCTTCTCTCCAAATCAAGTTCGAAGATTTTTGAAGATGCATGAAGACCTCTGTGAAGAAAATGTACACGGGGCAAGGAAGGATGATGTCTTCCTAAACCATGAATCCGTTGAAAATCGCTGTGTTCATCAAACATCGGGATGGAGGAAACGAAAGTGGGCTTCCATA